GAGAACATAAGTCGCGATACTCGCCACATAGACAAATCTTTTACTTGTATTATAGTACGTGGCTTTTAGCTTTTATTTATTTAGTAAAGTTGAATTCATATGCAGATAGAAAAGAGAAAACAAACTTAATAAGCATTGCTGAAAAAGCGACGTAAATTAATACATCTCTTGTAAAGATGTCCAACCTATATAAGAAATTCTAAAGCATTTGTAACCTTCTTGAAGGGGAAGAACCATATAAAAATCATTGTCTTTTTTGGTGTAGGCAAGATCGTGATCAATCAAAAGTAAAAATAGTATTTTCAGGAAAAATGATAGGCAATGAAATCTACAGGGTATGGATAATTGACTATGGAAAGGCCAAAAATGCCCAAAACCGATATCTACACTTGATTCCACTAGTCAAGGCGTTTAGCTTATTAAGAGCAAAGGCATATGTGATTTGAATTTTGAACCTTATCGAATCGTTTTTGTAGTGAGGCAAGAATTTTGGAGGTTGGTGTGCGTTGAACTAACAATTTTTGAAACTGTCAGAGTTAGTGTTGAATGTAACTGCTTATAATAAGTTTATTACATCATTATTTTCTTCTAAAATGCATATATGCATGTCATTTGCCTTGTGACATTCTCAGGTCAAATATAACTAACATTTAGTAACATATAAATGCTCTATTGGACACATGGCTAAAAACGTACTTTTCACATGCTTTAAAACGGAAAAAACCGGATAGTTAACACATACCTTTTTTCTTCATTATTTCACAATTATAAGGTATCGTTCGGTTTACCTCGATTTGTTTTTTTCTTAGTGCGTTCTAAAAATATTTTTTTCGATTCTATTCAACTTTAATTGCATAAATTCGGTACCACAAGACACTATATATATAGAAAAAGATGTATAAGTACATCGTTAAACCTCGATTCGTGTCAGTATGTGCGTTTATCGATAATTTAGTATTTTTTCCACTAGCCAGATAATGGAATTTTCAGCAGATTTCTAGAAAACCACCATAAGAAAAATCACCTGGCCAAAGCCAATACCTGTCGGCTTTTGTAGCACTAGTCGAGTGGCGTATGAGGCAACAAGATCTCGACCAGTTGACGTGTAGTTTTCGGAGGAAGATCAAAGTAGGTCTCACAGCTAATCATAAGGTAACAGTAGTTTATTTAGAATAAACCTGTAGAGTGCTAAATAGAGTTTTGAGACATGACCAAAGTCTTTTTTAGCTAAAAAAAGAAAAGGAATTTAAATTAATCTAAGTTTTAAGTATTGTTTATAAATCTGTTAAAAGTGCACGTAGATTTTCTGTTGAAATGTCATCTTTGTTATCTTGTGCGCGTATGAGAGCTTGTTATGTCAGCGTTTTGAAGAAGTCTTGTAGTTTTAACATCTTGGTTTGATGGATATATGTGGATGAGGCGTAGTATGGAACCGCTAGTGCAGCTCGAAGCCCTTTGCTCTGTTCTGTTTGCAGTGCTTTCCATATTTTTTCATCTGCTTTTAATAAAGCCGATGATCCACGTTAAAACAGGTCTTACTAAAGATTTGTCATTATTTATTTTATCGTTTCTGTTGATGATCTTGACAGAAACTGTAAAAGACTAATTCGTGATTGAGTGCGGTCTTGATGTACATCATATGTTCATTCCAATTAAGTTTCTGGTAAAAAATTACACCTAAATACCTCGCCGATGACTTTGGCTTTATCACTGTTGTTCCTATTAATACTTGGAATGGATTGGTATAATTTGTACGTGGATATGGACTAAAATGCAGCATTTCCGTTTTAGTGGGCTTCAAAGTTAGCTTCCACGAACTACACCAACGATAAAATGCGTGCACTGAGACTTGCAGCCGTTTGTTGAATCCTGAGGTGGTGTTGCAAGCCGCCATAGTGATGTGTCGTCTGCAAATAGCCCATACTGCGTGTGATCTGATATTGCCGTCACCGAATCCGCAGTGTAGAGTACGTAGAGAAGTGGACACAATGGAGAGCCTTGAGGCGTCCCAGTTCCTAAGCCGAAGTTTGTTGATAACAGATTTTCAAATTCTATTGCTGCTGTTCGTTCATGTAAAAATGATATTAGCCATCGGATGATATAATCTGGTAGCTTCAAATCGAATAGTTTATAAATCAGGCCGTGGTGCCACACGGAGTCGAAGGTCTGTTTTATATCGAAAAAGATAAAGGCAAAATGATTCTTTTTTTCTAAATTATGCTTTGCAAAGTTTTATACATTGTGGACTTTTTTGACCTAAAACCAACCTGATTTTGGGGCAAAATGTTTCTTTCCTCCAAGATATCCATCAGACGATCTTTCATGATTCTTTCCATAATTTAGCCTATGCAACTTACTAAACTAATGGGACGATAACTGCTTGGATCCTCCTTTTTCATCTTCGGTTTTAGGAGTAAAGTGATACAGGCCTTCTTCCATTGCTTTGGAACATAGCCGCACTTTAGTGAACTGTTGAATAATCTAGCCACTTCAGGCATCTGTTATGAACATTGTCAAGGCCCGGAGAAGCGTTCTTGAGTGTTTTCAAATACCTAATCATTTGCTTTGTAGTCATTTCTGGCACCTGTCGAATCTATTTTTTCTGTAAATTGATAATTTTCTGCTTAACTATATTTGAGACGTGTTGATAAAACTGCAGATCATCAGACTTTGTTGCATAGACCTTGTCTCGCAAACACCAGCCGTCTGATTTTTATACTTGAGTTTTCCAGAGTAAACTTGCTTTGTCCTTTTATTATGATGGCGTTTCTCTGTGGTCCAGACTTTCTAAGTATCCTGGTTAAAGCCTGCATTAACTTCTTAAATCTTGCAGATTTTTCATTTTTTGCAGCATTTTCTCATAATATCTTTTGTTTGTAGTATTTCCTAGTGAATGTAGTCATGCGTAAGTACTCAAAAAGTACTCTACAAGAAAAACTGAACGAAATACTCATACGTATTCATACATTTTGAGTAATCATTGAGTACTCATGAGTACTGTGGAGACGACTTTGGGTACTCATGCTTCAGTATTGTTGAGTACACATATAACTTTTGGCAAAATACTCATGAGTATTGTTCATCTGATATTTTCATATAGAGGAGTGATCTCAGGCAGCAAGAGTTGGACTACAAGCCTATTCACAGACGAGTCTATCTCTGACTATATACAGAGAGACAAGTGAGAAAAATATCATATAAATATTCTATATAGAAGTAAAGAAACATATGTTCTTTACTAAATTCTACTTTCTTTATACAGTTTTATTTTTGCAAAACAAAATGATGAATAAATATTTTCTGAATACTCACATAGTAACTGGGTACTCACTGAGTAAAAATACTCAAAAGTTGTTAGTAGAACCCATATGACTCATGGACGAATTGTGAGTAAAGTCGTACTGATAGTATGAGTACTTTCACTAGGATTGCTCCCTATCGGCTTCTAAATTGCATTTTTTCCATCATCGGCAGAGACGATGTTTATCTTTAATTAAATTCGTAGTAGTGTTATTGAGTGTAAATGTAAATGATTTACCACCTGGAGGAACAGCTGATTTTGTTGCTTATACTATAGAGTCGCTAACAAACTGATTATATTGATCGATCTTCTTTTATGAACTTACTGACCTCTTTTCATCCCATTCAGCTAGCAGCATGTTTAGTTCTTGTCTGTACAGATCAGAGTTGCCAGATGCCTCCCCATAAAGGGACAATCCCACATTTAAAGATTTGTTCCCCGCGAAAATCTGTCCCCCAGGATGTCCCCCTTTTCAAGGATATTTTCTTTTGACCATCTTCGATGGACTTTTCACTGTTGTATTACTCTTCTAGTTTAACAGACTTTTAGCGTTTAGTAATTTTTCTTATATGAGATTTCACATAAGAAATAGCACTAAAAGGAGAGTTGAAAATTAGAATTTAGTTGAAAGATCTTACAAAGACCTTTCAACTAAATCATTAACTTCATAAACAATAAGAGCATTAATCACGAAAATTTAACGTGCAATAATTTTCATGATTATGATCTATGATTTTGAATAAAAAAGACGTTCCTAGTAAGAGCATTCGTGGAATGAAAATATGAACACATTAGTAAAAAATAACGTCTGAATTGAACGTTTAGTGCTTTTTGTGTGACAAAAGACAGTTATATTAAATCTTATGTTTTGACATAGTAATATTAGAAAGACCAGAATAAAAGACTATACTCACGTGCGTTTAATTTTGTCAATGATATCGCACGACAAATAACTAAACGTGTTTTGTGTTGTTCCGCTTTGTAGAAAAAACAGTCCCGCTTTTTCCAAAATTTGTCCCCCTTTACTTTTTTTTCAGCTGGCATCACTGGTACAGATCCCAATTTGCAGCGCGATAGTTGAATGAGAGTCGTGGAGATTGAGGTTTTCGATCTGGTGTAGCCTTTAGGTCGAACGTTAACGGCTTATACCCACTCAGTACGCCTGATAACTGATGAGTTTCAATGTTATTGATAAAATAAATCATAGGATGCGTGCCTAAAATCCAGTCGAGCTTTTCCTCGTATCTGCCTCTTTCGTATGTAGTCTGTGAGTCATCATCAATACAAGAAAAAATATTTTCCTCTAGAAGTAGTCCTTTGCTATTAGTTTTTCTGGAGACCATGCTCTGTAAACCTGCGTTAATGTCTCCGATAACTAACGAGTCTGGGTTTAACTGATACAGCTCTCGGAACAGAGCTCTGTTGAGCTTTATTTTTGCAGGCACAAAAATAGAGGCAATATAGCCTCCATCAGTCTCAATTTGTGCTGCGACAATTTCATTATTTTGGCCCGTACGATTCATTACCTCGTGACATCTGGTGGTGTCACGGATTGTTAAAATCACTCCTCCTCGTTCATTCGTTCTGTCAACCTAAAAATTTTAAAATTTAGTAATGCGAAAGTCTGTTTCTGATGTAAATTTGTTTCATTTAACGAGATAATATCAGAATCTCTACAGCGAGCGTAGAGCTCTTCACGATGTTTTTTTGCGGATGTAAGATTTATATGACACAGATTTTTGTTATGACAGTAGATTTTTGTTTTGTTATTGCTTTTTATGACCGCCTTGATGTTTTGGTACACGATCGTGTGCCAAAACAGACTTTAAACGCACCCGAGTGCGTTTAAATTCTGTAGTACTAACATTTTGGGCTGCTGTACAATCCGTAGTATCTATCCAACAGTATCTTATTGTGGCTGTAAACATCACTAGCGATTTGTTAGTGTACCATTTCTATTTGATTATATCCATCAGTTTTACATCGGACATTTTAGTTTTAATGATCAAAAATACATAGGTGCACTGGAAAGACAGTTTAAAGTCAACTATCAACCCTAATCTACCCTAATCGATGCTAAGTTAACAGAGCTGGTATAGATCGAAGAGCATTGTGAAAAATTTGAGCTGAATTGACACTATGGAAATACATGATATTGGATGAGTGCTGCTTGGAAGTTTTGTTAGTGTGGAAATGCCCTTCGCCTAATCAAGCATAAGTTCAACCGAGATGATTTTTTCGTTTATCAATATTTGAATTCATTGAAAAATTGTCAAAAAAAATTTGCTGTTCTTTCCATTTTTGAGCTTATTTTCTAGTTGGAGTTTTTTCATTGTTTCAATAAAGACAAAAGACCATTCTTCTAGAGAAAGATAGCCAACTTACTCACCTCGATGATCCCGAATAAAAAAGTGAAAACTGATAAATGTCACCTTCGGCCTTTTAGCTAAATATCCGTATGAATGTTCACTGTGCACACTTATTTGAAAACTGCCAAACCTAAAAGTTGGGTTATTTTGTTAAAATAGGTTTTTTATTTTATATCGTATTCATCGGTCTTTAACGATTAAGCTAAATCAAATTAAGATCAACTTTTTCTTTCTCTCTCTCTATATATATACTGTATGAGTGCATATTTGGTTACTAATGCCAAAGAACCTGGATCAATGAAAAAGAAAAAAGAAAATCAATCATAAATAATCAATTATCATCATCTTTCTCGTCGATATTCATGTAGCTATTTAACTTGTTTGATATGTGTTGGGATGCTAGTTTAAGAAGAAAATGGACGTGTTTGATCGAAATAGCCTATTCATATCGACTATTATGAGATATAGATTAACATGTTACCAGCTTTTTCGATTGTTTACTCGCCATTATCATCATTGGTCCATAAAATACAATTCGTGGCATTAATATTACACTTTTTCTCTTTTCTTATAGTTAATTCTGCTGGTATGTGTTATTCAAAATACTTCTGATAATCCCCAATTGATGATTTGTTATTTGCTAGAATTGATACCGAGGTTTCTTTCAAATTTTTGACATGTAAAAACGACAGAACTGCTATGCTGATTTTATTACCTTCATTAGTCTCCTGAGCAACCGAAAGAAAAATTTACTGCACTTGAATAGTCGCGTTGCACTACACAGCTTATACATCCACGCAGAATCGCGACATGAAATCGTGATTGCACTATCAATCATTTTGAATTGTTATTGTTTGTGCCTAGAAAATCTGTTTCTGATATTTTTCTAGTATCTTTTTGCGCTTTCAACAGTCCTGTGTGAGATGAGTGATAGTTAAAATTATTTCTTGTTGAGACGACATCAGACTGTATTTTATTGTACAATTTATAAAACCTGATAGTGAATGTGAGTTCTATTATATTACACGAGGCTATGACAAGCTCTCTCATAAGTTCTGACGTATGACAAGTTCTTTTTATCTGCATTTTAGTAGAAAATTCAATATTACAGCTAATACAACCATCGAAGAGACTTCCATTTCGTTCCAGTAATAATAAACAAACATCATCGCCACGAGAAGCTAGTTCGTCTCTAACACTGCAAAAGCCACAACACCAGCGACAGCAATCACAATCTTCGTATATAATGAAAAAACCGACTGAATTATCCTCGTTATTAGGCGACTCTTTGAAACTTCGACGACGAGCACAGGATCCTGCTGGCCTAGATAATAACATAACTAATATTTTGTTGTTGATGCGTAACGTACTTTTGAAACTAAATTCACGTATAGAACAAACCGATGCTGCCGATGATCGTTTAACATCGTTGAGAGAAGATGTGACACGTGATATTCGTTCACCACTAGTGGTCGTTTCGTCAGTCCCTCCTGCTACTTTAGTGGATCAAGACCATGTTATTCAAGAGAAAGTGGAATACCTCTTTAATAATCGTATGAAAACTGTGTGGGAAAAACTTGATTTGAATGTAGATAGTTTACGCAATTCGATCGAACGTTTAAAGCTTTTAGAAGAGTCATTACATGACAAAACGAATCTTATAATTGATAAACTGGAAAATATGAAGAAAGAACGTCAACAATCCCAAGAAGAACTGAGAACGATGGTCGACTCAATGGAAAAGGTTGTTGAACAAGGTGCTGAAGAAGCAGCTCTAGAGGAAACAGTACCAGAAATACTCACATCTAAACAACAAATAGCTAAAGTTCTCAAACAACCCGTTGTCATCATCCCGAGACAAACAGTTGTACCATCTATGCCATCCCAACAATCACTCTTTAGCACTACACAGCGACCGACATTTGATCAGCTGATTCAGCAAGCAATGCAACGAGATGTGCCACTTGATGAAAATTTTGTGTTAGGAACATAAGCTAGGAGCATGATGTGTAACACATGTTTTCTAATAGTCGACAGACATGTATATGTTTCTGTGGAAGGATTTTTAGTCTATATATACAGCAAATGGGTTTTAGTACTGTGCGTTTTTCAGTGTTTTCGAAACTTCGTTTATACGGATGGAGACCTCTCAAGATGAGTCAGCGAAGATCGATTGTGATTGTAGTGAGAAGTAGAAAAAATGTGAGATTACTCATAGAGAAATGAATCCATCGAATTTTAATAGCTTAAAACAAGTTAAAAAATTGAGTTTTATAAGATTATGCTTATGTTAAGTTATCTGATTTTTTACGATACATATAGATTTACAGGATGATTATAGCATGCACCTGAGTTACTGACCCATCAGACTCACTCAGTCACGTATAGATTTATTTGTATATATCGATTGTGACATTTTCGTAGCTATTCGTCTACAAAGATGTTGAGTGAACAGTTTATTTTTGACCCTATTCTTCGAAGAAAATGTTCTATACGTTCAGATTAAAGGAAATTTTTGCTTGTTATTTTGGAACAATGTTTTTCCTTTTTTGTTTTGAGAATTTACCTGTCATTCGCTGTTTTATTTTTTGCGATGTACCTGTAATTTGTGCACACGCTTTATTTTGGGTCTCTTTAGTAAAGGAAACAAAACAACAGTTCTGCTGGCATGTAACGAGCAAATTCAGTGTCAAATATTCATCAGACATTGTTTTCAGGAAAATATATGCACTCTCTGGAGGAAAATTCTTCCATTTTCTCCCAGAGTTGTCTCTAATCAAAACAGCCCTGATTGTATAGCGATGGATCAGAGGTCTCAAATGTTCCGTATTGAAAGTGACACTCTCCCATGCGTTCATTCTATCTAGAGCCCTGTAGGTTAAACCTAACCTATAGGTTAGGCTAGATTTAGGTTATGAAACTTTTTATCAGCTAGGTTGTAGGTTACGCCATTGATAACCTATTTTTAACCTAAACGAAAAAAAAACGATTTTTAACGACCATATTAAAACAGTCAATACTTTTAGTAATAAAACGTAGTCCGAGTGGAACTTTAGCGATTGAATGATGAAGTTCAGACTGAGGTTCTCTACTTTAAACTGAAAAATGGCACAATCAAAGAAGGAAGTACAGAGAAAAAACTTACCTTTGCTAAAAATAGATGACGAATACACAACAATAACAGAACTTCGTAGCATCGAGAGCCTAAAGTGAAATTCTGGTCTACTCTCAAGAGAGTCTCCCTATTCAGAAAGCTATTTTCTAACGATTGCATTAAAGAATAAAAGACTCGACCAATTCATTTCTATATTCATTTAGAATGTGATTTATTTTGTATAAGCTTTCCTGTCAGACGGTATTCAGATAAGAAACAATAACGATATGCACGGGGTCCTATCCCCTATTAAATGTGTCTCCCATGGATGATATATTTTTTCCCAATGGGTGATTTGATGAAGCATGCTACCTCTTGAGTATGTCTCTGTTATAAAGATTATTCTTATACAGGTGTTTGGAGAATTTGCAGCAAATAGAGTTATTGTTTGGTTCAAAGAATGAACCCTAAATTAGAACTAGAGAAAAAAACGACTGCTTTTGAAATGTAGACTGAAAATTAGAAACAAACCGAAAAATTATTGACGACAACAAAATAAAATTCAGCAACTTCACATCTATCATCAACACGGCAGTGTAATTTCAACGATAAACGGTTAAATGATCCACAGTATTGACTTTAATTTATTTGCAATATGTGGCTCTAGTTGGATCCATTGGATATTTTAGATCGGGATGACGTTATTTCGTTAAAATGAACGTCCCCATTTTTCTCCCCCAATTCAGAACTTTTTGTCTCGTATTCGAAAAAAAATTAAGATCTCTGGTATAGACTGCTCTATTTTTACATGAAACTGATTGGGACAAATCTCAGCTACTACCTGCGGGTTTTTTCAAGCAGTCCGCGAAAAAAAAACACTGCTCTAGGAGAAAATTTTTTTATCACGCATATCTACCAACCGTAAGAAGTTTTCCAAGTAGTGACCTTCTGTTAAACTAAACTCTGTGTGTAAGCCAGAGTTCTCTCACGTTCCAAAAATTCAATTAACTTGTTAACAAGTAATCGCGGTTCCTATAATAATGAATCAAAAAAAGTCCTGATTCTGACATTTGACTACGTACCTGCTGATACTGCCATCTAAGGTGTATACTGAATCTTCCATTATGTGACGGAATACAGAAGTTTGTGGATTAAATTTAGCTTCTTCATTTAGCATAAAAAAGACGACGTAGTGTTTAAGTCTCACATTATTTAGTATTAGCTTTTCTCTCCACCAATAACAATCACTTGTGTGCTTAAAAAGATTTTTTTATCTCATCCATAATTTTAGAACTTTAAGAATACAATATAGTTGCGGCTAACATGTTAATCAAGAATTTTAATAAATTATAATACAATTAAAATTACAATTCGATATTTCGACCTATTTGTACGGTCATTTGCAAGTTGCTCTTTGCACAGAATGTTGCATAAAAATGAAAATAGTACAGCTGACTACATGTATCTAATGTTTTTTCTCGTCTTTCTTTCATTTCCGTATAGATACACACATGACACTATGAGAGAAGACTACGAATATTATACGTACGACGAAGGCGGGAGTAGGAAGGGGAACGAAGTATGATATATGGAAAAATTCTGATTACAGCAAATTTTGTATTTTCTATCCTAACAAAAGCTATTTGACCTTGAAATTAAATTCTAACCAGATTCAGTGATGAGTAATCTCTCCATATTTCTAGTTTGATTAATGTACACACATCACAGCAGAATTACAGTATACGGTACGCTAATAAAATTTGATTAAGCTTTGATGTATGCTTTGCTTCTAGTCCCAGAAAAAATGTGTGGTTAAAGTTTGGGATGCTTTGATTTCCACTTATTTTTTTGTTTTGGAATTTTTTGTTGCAACGGTAGTGATGCATTTAAACCTCACTGTTGTGCTAAAACGACGTTTCAACGCGTGATTTGGACTTTTCTTCTAAAAACCATCACTAGTAATAAAGTAAATTCAATCCAGTAACCAACGGTTATAACAACTAACGGTCATTAACAACTAAAGTGGTTGCATTAATAATAGGGGAATACTTTTATCGAGAGATGAACACAATAAAGTGAATTAAACACTAATGTGTGGCACACATTACGTTGCATTGAATGTTCCCTTAGTAAAAAAGTAACACGTTTTTTTGTTTTTGAAAATTTGTAAGCGAAATGTCTAACACCACAACTTCAAATCCATCAAATTATTCTTCATCTTCAACTCTCATTTGTGATTATTGTTGTTCGTGGCCACCATCGATCATAATTTCCTGCTCCAAATGTCCGCGTCCAATAAGAGTTTGCAGAAAGGTTAGTTCGTTTATATTCTTCTTTTAGAGGATCATTTTTTTTGTTTTCTGTTAATTTAGTGTGCATTATACGTTCCCGAATTTAAAACTCATGCAGAAAAACATCCAAATGCCATCAACAAAGTAGGATTAAAATCATGGAATATTTATTTAGTCAATTTATCATGAGTATTTGGCTGACTAACATATAGTTGCTGAATAATCACAGTCTTTGAGAAAACTGTTCTACTTGATATATCCTCTGATGTACTTAATCTACTATAAACGTACCTCATATAATGAAGCTCGTATTACAGTTTTTATTCTTGCATTTCAGACACTACACTTTTTTTGTCTGATTTTCAGTTCTGTGATATGCCATTGTATGATGGAGAGAAGCAGTGGTTATATTCAGATGAAATTCACCTGCTTGAAACAATCGAATCGTGTGGCCTTGGAAATTGGATTGATGTTGGCCAAAGACTGAAACGATCTGCTGATGAATGTCGTCAACATTTTGAAAAATTCTACTTAAAAAATGGTATATGGGATTTTCCATTTTCCGAATGTCAAAAACCTCAATTAAAAAATGATATATCTTCGGATAAAGATCTATCTGAAACTCAGTTTATGAGTTCATCCATTATTTATCCACCAATGTTATTATCAACAGATAAACAACGATTACTCACTTACATGCCATTAAGAGATGAATATGAAAGAGTAAGTTGGAAACTGTTAACACAAACTGTCAGCGTCTAACGTGATAAATATTCTTGATAAAACTAAACCTATTTCTGTGTTGTGACGTGCAAGTTCAAGTGTGTATTTGATATGGTGTCTCAAGAGATGTTTATTTAATTGAGCCTAAGAAACTGTTGTTTTGCTAAATTATCAGTTAAAGGATAAGATGTTAAATTGTTCGTTTATTGTTTTTTTAGGAATATTTTAATGAAGCTGAAAATCGTATACCGGGCTTGACAATCGATAGTGAAGAAGAAGAAGACGAATTATTAAAAGGTAGAAGCATGTTTTCTAGAGAAAAATACTTCTCTAACTGCTTTTCATCTCGTAACTAGAAGGAAAATTAGCGTTAATTCGTGGTTATGGCGAAGTGTTACGTCGCCGACTTGAGTTAAAAGATTATGTGCGAGATTATGCGTATGGGTTCACTTATGAACAACCAACATTATCCCCATCAACGTCTTTGAAAGATGATGATCAACTAATGGATAGTTATCTACATGAAAACGTCACGGATCATGATGGAAGATTAGAAGATGAGCAACGAACAAAAAAGTAATTGAAATAGCTGAATGTGTCAGATTTTTTGATAATATGAGCTTATATTAACCCGTGAAATATTAACCCGTGTTCATTTAGATACGAATTACATCAGATATCTCGATTTTTATCGGCTGATGAATACGAACGTTTAATCTACAATCACCACCGTACGTGTCAAAACTCAATAGTTATGAACGTACATTTGTTTTTTTGCTTCTGTTTTCAGGAATTTTGAATATTTTATATGATTTGGGTTATCCAAAACTCGATATAAAACCATCACATACAAATAAAATTGCTACACAATATTTAAATCATATTGACACACAACAGCAACCGTCAGAGTCTTCACTACCATTTATAATAAGTAAGAATGAAAAAATCTATACAGTAAAACATACTTCGTCAGAAAATGTAGTAGGAGTAAGACATCAGAATGCGATTATTGTTCGCCAGCGGTTCTATTATCAGAAAGAATCATAAAAGACAAAATATTGTGTTTTTTCTCTAGAAACTGATCGCAATCGTCATAGTGAAAGACGAAATAAAAGAGTAAGCATCCATTATTCTCTTTATCGTACCTTATATTTATGAAAATTTGTTTTCTTATCTAGAATGGAAGAATAGAAAAATTAAAAATTAAATTAAAACGGCCTGAGTATGTATGATGTACTGAATGAATGTATAATTCATGTTTGAAGTTGATTGATCTCTATCCACGGATGTATTTTCTAACAGATTGAAAAGTGTCAGCTTTTCAGTCTCAGATGTACAATCATCATATCATCAACACGTTTTTATTTTACCTATAGGTCTCCAGAATTTCCTTCGTCATCATTTGACACAAAACCGTCAGTCCGTTATGAATCACGACTTCATTACTCTAATCATCCTGCTACCCACTCGTCAACTAATTCATCAGCATCTTCTTCACTCACATCTCCTTCACCACCTCCGTCGTTAAATTCGATGCCCCTCAACTCTCAACATTCTCGAAAACGTCGCTTTTCATATCTTAAACGATCCACAGATGATGATGAGCCAGGACGATCACACGAAGATACAAAGCCAACTCCAACATCACTGCGTCTTATTTTGAGAACACTAGAAACAGGTAAAGTACTATGTTGTATTTGAGTAGTGTTAAAAAGATTTCTATTTTTTATCATATATTGGTATCAAGTATAAGTACGTTTGTTTAATTGTTATCTTGTTTTAGGTACAACAACCGATAAGAAAAAAGCACAATCTTCGTTATTCTCTGTTGGTGACGAACTTGATGATAATGTATTATTAACTATGACAAGTCGAAAAAATTTACGAAGGCGGGCTAAGATTCTGAAAGAAGATGATGATGAGGAATCGAATAGCCAACAAGTCGAAACACGTTCTCGGAGTCAACATCAGAAATCATTACTACAGTCTGAAGAGTCAGACGATAATGACCAATTACCATTATCACCAAAATATTTGAGAAGACGAACAATAACAGCTATGAAACAGGAAAATAGTGATGAAATAAAACGAAAACAACGACGAGTTAAGCTGGAATATGAAGAGGATGAAGAAATGACAAATGATAGCAGCAGAAATGTAACAGAAAATTCTCATCAAATATGTACAGTATGTTAAATCAGTATAAAAGCTGGCCTTTCGGTAGTATCCCTGGTCTTGTGAAAACATCGATCTCAAGATTGTACTCTTCACAATAGTTTTTTAATATCTTGAACTCGAAACGTTTAAATAACGAATAATAATAGCTCAGTTTTGGGATATATTTATGTATTTTCAATCTCAGCTAACAAAGGATATCACAGTAAAAACTAGACAATCAATATTTTAAATATAATTCAACTATTTATTGTGTTATTTTAGCGTTCAAAAATGAATGGTCACGGCCATCTTCAACAAGCTGCTAAACTGAATTACAGTCTAGAGTATGTTGATTATTAATGTTATTTGTTCGACAATTATAATCTACCGTTTAGCTCAGACGACGAAAGTACTCTAGATTATAATTCAGATGATGAGTCAGAAAGTGAAGAAGATCAAACCAAAGATAATAGTGAAAAAGAACAAAACCAAGATGGTGGAATAGAAATAGATGAAAGTAGATCATCAGTAGCATCACGAACAAGATCACACACACCGCCCAATTCTAATAATCAACAAGTACAACTGCATGAAGGCAAAAAGCGAGTGTGTGCATAAATACTTACTCTTCATACAGATAATAACTCAAACTTAATATGAAATAGCTTAGAAATGAATCGAATTGAGGAAAATAAATGATTCAATGGCTTTTGGAATGTGAAGATGATACGTATCATGTTGCACAAACTACGTCTACATAAAGTGATTAACTATGCATCATACATATAAACTCTATCCTATAATAATTGACTATCTGAATTTCTGCGTTATTTCTTATTTTCTATTTGATGTTAGTCAGTCGTTCATGCATATTTTTGTCTTGAATTACACTGATAGGTTGTTGTTACCTTTTTAGAAAAATTCTACGGAATATATAGCAAGAAATCGTGACTTAGTTACAAATGGATGGTAAGATACAAATTTGTTTTCGATATTATGTGTTTAGAGACCTACTAGGTTACTTGGAATCGTCAAAATAGCCACAAGAGGTGATTTTGCTTTAAAATTGCGTTAAGCAAAAAATTAAATGTGTATCAGTTTTATCGTTCGACAAATAATTACGATAATAAGGTTTAAGGCTCTATTCTATCGAAATATAGATTTTTTCGGAAAAAGTTGATATTGAGATAAGCGCATGGTTTGATAGCCCAAGACGGGTTTCAATGCTACTAGTTTGTAGAGCAAACATTTCTGGTTAAAACTTGACATCTCTCGCGATGCGTTGACCAAAAGTTATGACAGTTTTACTAAGAGCCTTAAAATCTGTACCACGTGTAAGTGCCACCATATTTCAAAATTGTTTTTTTCCGTTAGGGTTGTTCATATTTCCCAAAATCTCCGTCCTAGTAGATGCTGGAGAGCTCCGGTTGTTTTCAGAATGAAGCTAGTACATGCGAAGATAGGATAACAAACCCCGAGTTTAGACGTTTGCTGTAGTTGTCAGTAAAACGAAGGATTTAGGAGCTTTTCAGCTTCCAACGACTCTCGAGAACCAATAACGCAAATATAAAAATTGAGCTCTGTCAACCTCTAGCCGCATGTGTTCGTTTCATTTTTAAACCAATCCGAGGTCCACGGCATCTACGTACATTTTGGGAAATACGAACAAGATCCGACTTGTGGATATCGAAATAGGTTTCTGTCAGGAAGGGGATCTTAGACTAATACAACAATTCAGTGTTCATGTTTCACCATGATGTATCAATATCTATTTCCTTTGATAAAGCGTAAATGGAAGCAAATTCTTACGCCAGATGAATAATTAACACTAATGATTAGCAACAAATGATTAGCACTAGGTCATGCTAATGTTTCTGTAGAAAACATTGATTCTTTACTCATCAAAAGTAAAACATTAAATGAAAATTGTTCAAATTATTTCTATTTCTATTTTAGTTTTCATCATTTTGATGAGTCTAATGATCCTTATTCTCAATCATTATTCACACCAAAACTTTCTCTATACAATAGCAGTAATCGGAAATTATTCAAATAGTTTATTTCTTTTTTACTTTTTTATTTGCAATTTTAATTTTCGTGTCATATATCATATTTTCTCTCAGCGTATGTCTTGTTCTACTTTTAGAAATATTGTCGATCTTTTTTTTTGTGAAAACAATGGTTATTCTATTTTGTGTTCTCTTATTAATTTTCTTTCATTTTTTTTAGTGCAACTTTTCCACATCCTTTGTTTGTACATAGTGTTATTTATATTTTTTCTGTTCGTACGTTTGTTTGTAATACTCTGTTTGCCTCTCACGTGAAAATAAGACACAAGAAAGCTTTTCTCATATTTAGATGGTAATGAAAATATAAATCGTTAATGTCCAGCGACAGAGGATCTAAATACCAGAACTTGGAAGCACTTCAATAGCTCAAGATAGATACTAGTTATCAGCATGATCATCAACATATATAATCTTTTAATCCCTTTCATTTTTGGATCATATTCATATAATGCAATAAATCTATTCTTATTCTCGTTGACTATTTCAGCATTTGATCGATTTCTGAAATCTTGTTCATTGTTCAAGGCTAGAAGACTTTGACTGGCGCATCTGCTTTCCTGCGTGTTTGTACAAAATGGAATATTTTCTTGCGTCAAAACGCGTTTGTGTTACACACGATTACACAATGTTGTTAGAACTGTGTAATGGTACGTTGGTTGGAGTGTTCTCATAGATTTATGCGTTTAAAAACAGAATATATCAGAAGTTTTGCTACTGTGTTAAACGCGCGAGGGTTACGTTACATCAAGTCACTTTTGATATGTAAGGATCGCGCAAATTATACTGAAAAATCAGCAATACAACGCGTTTTTCAGCACACAAATTCCAATATAAGGCAACTTTTACTGATGAGTTTCAAGTAAAACTCATGGTAACTTCTTCTTCAACTATTAAAGGCAAAAAATGTTAGATCTGTTCTTAAGTCAGTCCACTGTTGTTATTGAGTAGTTTACTGGCAGTTCTTATGGATCTCAGCGATATCTGAAACTCCTGATTATTTGATCTAAAGATATTTAAAACTTTTTTGAAAACCAAGATTCCCAGAAAGTTTAGATCGAATTAACACTATCTATGCTTCAGGATTAATCTAATTAGACAACTGAATAAAAAGCAATATTATTGTGCGTACCGTTGAATAAAAGCAGGATATGTTTCAAACTTTTCAAATATTTATTGTCACAGCTAGTTTGTGCTCGAAAACGTCTAGTCTCTTTGCGGGAGTGACCAAGGAAAGAGATGATAGAAAACTAGGATGATAGAGAAATAAGGAAATATCTCTTTCCATATAAGATATCCCATGTCCGGAGATTCTTTCGTCTCAACGCGTCGATTGAAAAGAAAGAGAACAGAAAGATACGCATATGCGAAAAGTGATATCTCCTTATTTGCTAATTCTCTAATTTCTGTTTTTATGGCCTACATATGAACAAATTTTTCTTCTATAGATAGATGTTCAGCAAACGGAAGAAGAGGCAGTTTAATTTAAAAAAACGTGCATTACGCATATGAATATGGTAATTGGAAGTAATGAAAGTTTGTACTGTATTGTTGTATTCTTGTCTGTAGTTTGTTTTAATAAGATTTGTTTTAGTAGTGCATGTATTTGACGTAGACGCTCTTCTAAGTTCTCCTTAAACTGGTCTAATCTGTTACCGATTGACTCGTTATGTTGTTCTACATATTGTAACTTCTCTAAATAGAGCTTTTCAACATCGTCAATCATTGAAATACGCCATTCATTCAATTGTTCTATTATTGTTGCTTTTCCCGTGTCTTTTGATTGCTCTATTAATACACTAAATGAATTATTTATATTTTATTATTTATCTGCAAAAGGTGGTGTTTCTTTTTACAGTATAATCAAACGAAAAATTTTAAACCACACATATCAGATAAAATGACCGATATTTTTCTCATGGAAAACAGGAGAAGCATTTTAGATCAGAAAATAAAAATACTTTACTCTTTTTATTTATTTGTCTTTTCCTGCAGAAGATCGTTATTTAACATCATCACATGTCCAAAGTTTTGTTATCACTGTATTCTTAGAAGTTCGGTTCTAATGGCCTAAAAAATGTATTTGTTCGTCGCGATTCATTTATGATATTTATTCATTTTATTTCTTCTCACGTGCAATACGTTTTTCATCCAGTGTCAACCATATGAAATGTTTCAGCGCAGCATATAAATAAACTTTACATCACAGTAAACTTTTCGGTTGACTCTTGTGTTTTTCTATTATAGCTACGCATTCCTTTTTATACACGTATAAAAATTTAATAATATTTTTATTTTTATTTATACACCATTCTATTGACTGTCTCAGTTGTTTTTATAACAGTAGGTTTTTTCTTCCACTGCATTTAAATAACCGGTTATTGCGACTATTAGAAAACTTGTATTACTCGTCATCCTTCTTGCGTGCTGAATCAACTGATCAAATGTCGGTCGCAGTGTAGTGCTGAAGAGTGATTGTTGGAATGATATAGATGGTACAACTGTTTGTTTCGGGATGATGACAACTCCCTACTGACTGCACTTGTGAGTGGGTGACTTTTGACCCACGTAGCTCAGTGACCTGACGTCATATCATTGTGAAATTTTCTGTGGTAGTGAGACACGGTGTAAGAAACAAAATAAAAAAAGTTTTTCGAAATCGGTTCGTAGTAATAAAAACAAGAGGA